CTTCAGCAGTGAGCATCCACAACCGTGCACGCAGGATTCGAACCCAGAAGTCCCATACTAGAATAAAACGGCCATACAGTACTTACAGGTTTTTCATAATGGTCTAGCTTTAATAGATTCATGACTTCAACTATTAAATTATTATTAAACACAGAGAAACATTATAAATTCGAAAGTTTCAGTTGTACAATGAATCACTTAGGATGTGACTGCATAAATTAAATAAATGATTAGTAAGTAGCGATATTCTTATATCTATAAAAGCTTTTACTTAACTCTGTTACTCCTCTTGAAGCATAGGTCGACAACAATGATCTCCAAATTACTTCGTCCACCATCTTTTCATGATTTTCTCCTCATCTGAGAGCTGGTTTGTTTTTTGTGACAGTAGGGTATTTACTGATGGTCACTGGCAAATTAATTTGGAGTATCTTGCATGAACAACTGTTTATGGATGCCTGTATTATTTCGATGATGGTTGTGGTAGTTCATCAAATTTTACTACAATGCAAAGGAACTTTCTAACGTTTATATTTATAATTCTAAAGTTTTGGGTGATAGTTCTTTCGAGTTGTAAATATACTTCAATGATAGGACTGCTACCATTGCTTTGCCCATTCATCTCTACATATTTTTATGTTGGTTTGTTCTCTGAGCTGGATGGTTTGGTCGTGGAGCTTTCATCGTCCTTCTGAACGACATCATCAGCACAAACTTCGGGTAGAAGTGAAGTGTTTGAATTTCTCCACATGTGATTCACAGCTTGTCCTCTGCACCTCGATGTTGATTGGTTCTTATTGACCTTAAATCTGTCATTGTTTATTTCTTTGTTTTGATTGTCTCTCCTATTGTTTTGATTTTTGTCCCTATGTTCCTGCATAATTTTCTTGATTGGTTGATAGATTGGATTGATTTCAATATGTTTGTTTATTGCAGATTGACCTGAGTGCCAAGCTTCTAAAAATTCTCTGGTATTTTTGGAATTGCCTCTGTCCAATCTTATGCAAACCAAAAGATGAAATGGCAAAAGAAGACAAAACAAACATAAACATATCGGAAACGACAACAAGGCTGCTGAAAACCTTCGGAATAGGTGTAGCCCACAAACCAACAAAGTCCCTCCACTCAATCTTATGCAAACCAAAAGATGAAATGGCAAAAGAAGACAAAACAAACATCATCTACAAGATAAATTGTACCAACTGCAACAAACACTATATTGGACAAAGCGGACGCCCCCTGCATCTTCGCCTACATGAACACCAATTAGCAGTCAAACGCCACGACATTTCTTCACTCATATCAATACACGTGGACAACTACGGACATACATTCGACTGGGAAAATGTGCAGATTTTGGACAGAGGCAATTCCAAAAATACCAGAGAATTTTTAGAAGCTTGGCACTCAGGTCAATCTGCAATAAACAAACATATTGAAATCAATCCAATCTATCAACCAATCAAGAAAATTATGCAGGAACATAGGGACAAAAATCAAAACAATAGGAGAGACAATCAAAACAAAGAAATAAACAATGACAGATTTAAGGTCAATAAGAACCAATCAACATCGAGGTGCAGAGGACAAGCTGTGAATCACATGTGGAGAAATTCAAACACTTCACTTCTACCCGAAGTTTGTGCTGATGATGTCGTTCAGAAGGACGATGAAAGCTCCACGACCAAACCATCCAGCTCAGAGAACAAACCAACATAAAAATCACCCACCTGAGCTACAAATCTTCTCCACCATCTCAAAATCTCTACATATCTACATCAGATCCTCTTTATTAATCAGTGATGCTAAGTCAAGGCTCCCATCTCATCCGGAGCTTCTCCATCAAGTGTGATATGGTTTGCGCTCAGTGTGTTGTACTCCAGGATCCTACTTTTTCTATTATGAATGTTGAGGCCTGCGCTACGGAAGCCATTACTACAATAATCATCATCGTCTGCATTTGTCGCTGTGAGTGAGACAGGTTTTAGTCAATCACAAAGACATAACCTTCCACTCATGTTCAGTGTTTCTTATATATTTCATGCTTCTCCTCAGAAATGGAGGCCTTCTTAAGTCAGTCAACGTCTGGAAAAAGGAGAAAGTCAACAGTCTTGCCTAACACAAATCTTCACTTGGAATACATCTGTGAATAGTCCTCCGTGCACGACTTTGCAATTTAGTTCTGCAGAATGGTAACAGTCTTCTTAGGCACTCCATAATGTCAAATAAGATTCCACAAGGTTCTTCTAAACACTCTGTCAAATGCTTTCCCATAATCAAGGAAGTTGATGTGTAACGATGAGTCTCATTCAACTGATTTTTCAAAAATGATGCGCAGTGTCCCGATTTGATTAGTATGTAGTTGATCCATACGAAAATCAGTTTGTTGGTCTTGAAGTTGAATGTATGTCTTTAGCATATTGTGTTATGTCTTTTACCTTAGTCAACTATCACGCGATGAAATCGCTAATCAGAATACCCTCTTCGATCACATGCTAAACCAATGATACGTTAACCAGTACTAGAAGCCTTGAGTCAACTCTGAATCCCTATTGATCCTCAATGTAGTAGCTTCTCGTTTAGACCTGCCCATTCAGTCCAGAGCACAACATCTACCTCCACTGTATGAACAATATATTTCAGACATAAGTAGTTTATGTACAAATAAACCAGACCCCATCACACCATAAAATGAAAAAAAATTATATATAAATATATATATTATATATGTCCTTCTGCTTTTTGCATTGAACTGTCAATTAGATCACTTAAAGAGCTTTGCATGTATTGCACAAATAAATAGTAACTTGAGTATTGGAAAAGTTATTTGAACTTTATCTGAGATTTTAAGTAGAATGGATCATGAATATTAATCACTCTCTCACCAGACTAGTAGGTCATAGGAGTATTCTTGCAACTATGAAAATACTAAATCTCCACAAAACCCCTTCTGATAATAATAATCATCATACACTCACTAGTGGCTGACTTCGAGAGGTAAATCCATAAGTTCTAATGAGAAGCAGTGACCAGTGGAGTTCAAACAACGTTTGTTGTTAGATATCAAATCACTGAAGACAATTGGTGAACGGTGGCTCAACTTCGTGGGTTGGTTGGAGTTAGACATAAACACTATCGGATGCCGGCTCAGTGATCTATCAGTTAAGTGCTCTGGCGCGAGACTGGTAAGTCCTGGGTTCGAATCTCTCGAGGCGGGATCGTGGATGCGCACTACTGAGGAGTCTCATAATATAACGAGTTGGCCTTCCAGTGCTTCCAGGTTTTTGTAGGTGGTCTAGCTTCAATTGACTCACGCTTGCAACTATGAAAGTGGTAAAATAAATTTTCCTGTAGTCATTCTAACAAACAGACAATATACTAAGCACATCACTTAAATAAGAAATGAATTAATAAGTTGTTCACCCTGTATTCTATGTATACAGTAAAGCATTTAGAGAAAATGCGAAGTAATGTTTTCATTTGGTCATCTGTATATATTCTTGAGATCGGATTTATTTATGATTTCAACGGAATTTTTTTGTTAGGAACTGACATTTACGTAAAAACTAGGGAGGACTAACGGAGATCTATATTCTAGTCCGAGAACCAACTTACGGCTTTACAGAGAATGAAGCAAAAGCTCCTCACTTTTTGTAATCAAGATCTGAAGAATTTTTTTCATTCCTTAATATCGCTTGAACATTAATAAAAGATGGTGGAGAAGATTTGTAGCTCAGGTGGGTGATTTTTATGTTGGTTTGTTCTCTGAGCTGGATGGTTTGGTCGTGGAGCTTTCATCGTCCTTCTGAACGACATCATCAGCACAAACTTCGGGTAGAAGTGAAGTGTTTGAATATAAAAACATTAATAAAAATTTCCCTCCCTCTATAATAAGTGGATTTTGACTTACCCACTAGTCTCTCTCTCTCTCTGTGTATATATATCAATAATTAATTTTCTCCCAATCTTTTCTATTCCATACGATTCGAAATGAAGCTACCCAACTAACCACATATAAATAATTAATATTAAATTCTATATTCTATTGTTTCAAGGGTTTTCTGTATTTTGTTAGTTTATTATGTTTTCGAAATACTATTGTATTTCTCCAACAGTTATAGTATGTTGTTTTAAATAATCGTTGAATGGGATTTCAAGTAACTCATGTGATAAATTTAAATCACATAGAGAATTTTCATAGTTGTAAGCGTGAGTCAACAGGAGCTAGACTACCATGGAAAATCTGGAAGTACTGAACGGCCGTTTCTTCCTATTGTGGGACTCCACAGCAGTGAATATCCACGATCTCACCTCACTTCAATTGACTCATGATCTCAACTATATAAAATCACTTAAATCTCCACAAAACCCCCTTATGATGGATATGGATCAATTCAAACCTTTGAATACTTAAACAAAAAAACTAAATATTAAGTATAAAACAAATTTTTAATGTGAACATCTTTATGTATAAAACACTGTTGTATCCCGTGGGAAATTATGAATGATAACTTTGAGAACTATTTATGGACCAATGTGATATGCATATTTCCTATTGTGTAATTGTTAAGTAACTAAACTATTCATCTTCGTGTCTTTGTTTTGACCTATGAACTTTTGTTATAAGATTTACCATTCTTGAGTTATCCCTAGTCCATTAATTATTGTTCCCCCTATTCACAGCTACATTTGGCCAAATCTTGTACAAATGTTATTTTCTATTATATGGTACGATGTGATCTGTTTGATTGCGGTATATAAACTCAGTATGTTTGAGAATAATGGTTCATATTGCAGAGGCTGTTATTGGCGTTCTGGACTTAACTGGCTGGGCTAGGCAGATAGCAGGACCGAGTAGTACTCAAGACTACTCATACGATTTTGTGTATCATTGAGCGGTTGATTAATCACTCATCTCTAATTGGGCGGTCATATCACGTTCATATATCAAACAGGGCACGCACGCACTCACACGTTATAATAAACACAAAAAAAGCGTATTTACAAACATATTCGGTTTTATTTTTTTGTTGAAAATTATACAGAATATGTCATATCTATAACTTCTAATGGCCAAGATAATTCATAAAATGATGAATTCGACATGACTTTTTGTGATGATGATGACGACGACGTAAATAATTCACATTTATCTTGTTGTATTATTTGATCAGTTAAATGTGTAACACTTTTAGCTAGAATATGCCAACAATTTAAAAGTTGATCTTTATCATCATTATTAGGTTGAACTAATTTACCAATCACAGCAACATAATCTCCAATATTTACTTTATAATTAATTGGTTGATTTTTATCTAATTCATATATAATTAATAATTCACCTGTCCCATCATCCAATATGAAATTATTACTATTATTAGTAGTAGTAATGGTAGTAGTAGTAGTAGTAGTTGACTGATAATGTTTAGTGATTCTGCCTTGTAACCAGAGCATACACCAGGATAATGTTTTTAGTACACTATTATTGTTATTGTCCAGGAAATTTATTTCCCATATTTGTCGAATGGAATTGTATATTGGTAATTTATTAGTATTATGAAATAATTGTCCAATTAATAATTTTCTCATTAATGGAGGTGCATCTAAATTAGACGACGGCATTTTTGTCTAAAATTCAATTATATTCAAATATATATTGATTATCAGAAAACAACAGATATCTTAATAATAATAATAATAATAATAATAATGCGCACTGCTGAGGAGTCCCACAATAAGACGAAACGGCCGTCCAATGCTTCCAGGTTTTCCCTGATGGTCTAGCTTCAATTGACTCATGATCTCAACTATGAAAATACTAAATCTCCATAAAACCCTTTCTGATAATAATAATAATAAAAAATTTAATGTGAGGATTAAGTAGTAAATCACAGGAAATGACTGAAAATGGTAAGAAAGAATACCAAGGATATTATTAGAAAAAAGGTTACCAAGATAAAAGATTTGAATTTTCCAAGAGTTCACAATGGTAGATGTGAGAACCAAGAGAAGAACTGACATAGTTTCAGATCACCACCTAGTTATGGCTAAGATGAAACTGAAGATAAAGTAACACTGGACAACTAGACAAACAGCATTACAAAGGTTCAATAGAGCCTTCTTTCGAGATACTAACAAACTCAACCAATTCAAGATAACTCCCTCTAGTAGGCACCGGAGTCAGACTGGATTATGAAGACCTCGACATCGAAGTACAGATACAATGGACATCTCAGAATGAATTAGACGACTTGGACTTCGCAGATGACTTAGCCCTCCTATCTTATACAAACGAACAAATACAGACGAAGACAACTAATGTAGCAGCAGCCTCTGCATTAGTACGCCTCAACAAACACAAAGGGAAAAGCTAGATTCACAACTAAAACACGGAGAATACCAACCCAGTCATACTTGATGGCGAAACTCTGAAAGATGTAGAAACATTCAAGTACATGGGAACCATAATTGATAAACAAGAAGGATCGGATGAAGACGTAAAGGCGAGGATTGGCAAAGAAGGGGCAGCATTCCTACAATTGAAGAATATATGGAACTTAAAACAACTCTCAACTAATTTCAAAGTAAGAATCTTCAATACGAACGTTAAGACAGTCCTACTGTACGGAGCTGAAACGTGGAGAACTATTACATCCATCGTCAAGAAGGTACAAATATGTATAAACAGTTGTCTACGCAAAATACTCAACATTCACTGGCTGGATACTATCAGCAACAGCGTTTTATGGGAGAGGACAAACCAGCTTCCAGCTGAAAAGGGAATTAGGAAAAGACGTTAGAGTTGGTGGATAGGACATACATTAAGGAAATCACTAAACTGCATCACGAGGCAAGCCCTAACTTGGAATACTGAAGGGAAGCGGAAATGAGGGAGACCAAAGAACGCATTACGTCGGGAAATAGAAGCAGGTATGAAAAGGATGAATGTTAACTGCAAAGGATTGCCCAGGATAGGGTTGGATGGAGAATGCTGGTGTACTTCTCCACGAGGGGTAACAGGAGTAAGTAAGTAATGAAATCCAGAGAACCAGTTTTGTCCTATGTCAGACACGTAATCAAAAGTCACTTGGTTCGAGTCTGAATATGAATATCAAAATTTGGATGATGTATTCAGTTGACAATTCCAAAATAGGACGAAATGTGTGTTTTGAATCTTACTGTTAGCCATAGATTCATTCATTCTATAAAGCTTACCATTTAAAAATGGGACAATTATCATTATTATTATTATATAAATAAACTTAACACTGAAAATTGATTATATGCTGTCTCAATTAGAAGAACCAGAAAACTATCGATTTAAGGTATTTTTCACATTCTTATATAAACACTAAATGCTTTCACAATTATTATTCGTATTATAGGGTTAAAGTAAACTGATCACTTGTCTACAAATTACTTTACCTTTCAAACTATCTCCAACTATTGAGAAATATCATTAACCATCGAATAGCATCTACCACAAAAAGCTATTCAAAATGTTCTTACCACAAATAATTACCTAGTCAATAAAGTTCGTAACCAATAGAAATGTGTACATATTGCCCCCAAATGCCCTGGTACGGCAGAGAGTGGGGAGGGTTTGCTCTCCCTCTCGAAATGCTCTCATATGGCCACGCGAATATATTGCCTCTGCCAGGGAAGTCCTACTCACTGCCTTCTCGTGGCATTGGTGTTGTTCACAAAAGTGAGAGGACGAAAAGCGAATGTCCGGCGCTTTAACCGAGTTGGTGAACACGGAGGGTCCACCTATGGGAGTTGGAAAACCCTGATTCCAAACCAATGGTGCACATTGATTCCAGGATCCTGAAGGAACGAATGGCGTATGAACCAACTGGTGGTCACCGGTTACCATGGGACTGCATCTCCTTACGATGCTCCACTGCATTGTGGACTAGACCTTTAGGTCAAAGGCTCCGAGTATGGCCCCTTAAGAAAACCACCTGCTTCAGTCTGGGCAGTATCACAGCCCTCACACAAATCGAATGAGATTTGTGAGGCGCATACTTATTTGGTGCTTCCTTGTACCAATATTTGTGTGTTTAAGTAAATAAATAAATAATTTAGTAAATATCAATAAATAAATTTCTTGTTATATTCTAATGAAAAGAGAAATTGTATTTTTGTTGTTTCGTAACTTAATTTAAACCACTCCTTCAATCTACTCTGAAAAAGTATCTTACATTAAATCACGAAATGTCAGAAATACAATTTTTCTACTCATTGAGAAACTCCCCCTTCATGCCATAGGAACATGATGAAGTCTAGTAGGTCTTACTGGAGAAGAGTGCTACATCGAAGCACGGCACGTCATGTTTTTGCACTGCTTACGCAGAACCATTACATAACACTCATATTTGTTTTTTTGTTTTTGGGCAGACTCATTGTTTTACTATCCTTTTGAACCCTCCATAGTTATACAATGACTTTTTGTAGCATTCGTAATCGTCTGCGGGTACAGGTAAAGTGGTTGACTAGACCGATCTCCGCCACCCACATTACCGTTCACGTTAGTACATGGGATGGTTGCCATGACCCATTGGGATATAACAAAAAATATATTTATTACTAACTTTCTACTCAATGCTAAATTTATTTGAAACTATGAAGTCCAGTCTTGGCATCGATACCTATAAACACATTAGTAAATATTACTTATTTCGACAAATCACTTCAAATTCATATTAAAAGTAATGGATAGCGTTGATTATGCTTAGACATGTGCTAGTTTACAAAATTTTGATGAATCATTAATATGCACAAAGTAGATATAATAACCTACAATGCTAAGTAAATTAATTGAATAAAGTTAACAAAGCATACTGTTTCACCAAAGGTCTACTGATTAACTAACAACTAGAAATGTGCTGTAGTGAACAAGAACACGAGTGGGGACAATCGGAAGTATTTTAGCACAACATTACAGAATATCTTATTAAAATATGAGAACCATTTAGTGAACAGCTAATTTGTAAAATAACAATCAACTGTCTCAATTTGACCGTTTCTTCTGAAAATATCCGCCCATAGTCTCCAATTATAATTGTTCATTTATTTTCGTACCAATTGCGTACCGTTCCTGTTCTTTCCTTATCGATCTTCTAATGAAATACATTTAATGCCCGATCATCGTTATATACTACTTATGTGGATATCAGTAACCCACACTACAGCGCAAAACACATTTCCAGGTATACAGAAATTTCTAAAACAAATAATGCTTGGTATACTTAGTGAGTATAACATTTATATTTATAGTAATGATAGGAATCAAATAATCATTCTACTTTTAGACAAGTACTTATAAACTTCATTCTCCAGTTAACATGAAGTGAAACTCATGTTTTTATTGACACAGCATTACAAAGAACCATAAAGTAACAGCTTTTCTTAATGATAAATGACAAAGTACTTGGTACATTTATAGGCCTAGAGCTTCTTGCCGATTTCTTAATGTTAAACACAGTGAGTTGTGATCACAAGTCATTTAGTTCAAAGCATTTGTGGATTCTTAAGCAAAGGAAGACATTAGTTATTAATCATTGGTCTATTATTCTACACTTCTATTTACCGGTTCTTGCGAACTTCACTCATCAGATAAGGCTAATCAGTTTAAATGATTAAATAGCGCAACAATTATTCGAAATCCATATATTACGCTAACATGGTTATCAAACTTTGAAATTTAACATCTAATAAGTGACTGTAAATCATTGTAATGCAGTTTTGTAAAGCTCTTTGCAGCTTATCAAAATCTGAGTTTAATCGGATCTCACAACACGTTCCATTATTAGGAAAAATGATATGAACTTGTATATCAAGCCTTTATGCTTAAAGACTTATTATACTATCCCAATTTAGGATTTCGTTAGGAGCATAACGAACCTGATGGAAAAGACTTGAGAAAGAATCAATACTTTAAAAAACATTTGGACGAAATAAGATCACTGTTTACAACATACATTATTATAGGCAACAAAGGAAGTTCAACTAGTCTTGAATAGATTATGCTTTTGAATCGCACTTTTAAAATTTTTTAAAGAAAACAGTACAGGTAATCTTAAAACAAGTGTGCTACTGTTGTCGACAGAAATAAGTAGTACTTTACCATCAATCGAAAAAGAAATACCTGGAGACAGAAGGTTAAGAAGATCGAAAAGAGAATGAGAACAAAGAATGATTGGTGTGGAAACGAAAAACCAATGAATTCTGAGACGATTGACTGATATTCGCAAAAGGAACAATCAATTTTTTAAACAACTGATTAATATTTTTCAAATGAAGTACTTACTATATGGTTCTCAGATTTTACTAAGATGTTCTGTAATTTTGGGTTCGAATACATTGGATTGTCCCTATTTGTGTTCTCGTTCACTACACAAGTATATATGCGATAAGCCAGTAATAAATTCAATACAAGACAAGGATAACGAAAACGTAGTCTCTATTAATGACATAAAGTTGCAGTAACTCCTCGAAATGCTTATAACATTTCATTCTAGCCTTTGAAAAGAAATAATTTTGCTTATCCTGTATAGTTTTGCATATTTATCTTGATTGCCCCCAAATGTCCTGGTATGGTCGAGTGTGGGCAGGGGCCGCTCTCCC